ATGATTGACGGCCCGTACGCATTGGACTATTCGTCCTAGACTGAACTGGGCATCCACTTACGCTTAGTGACATCTGCTGTTATTGCGGGAGAGTTCCAAGCAGGCATGAGTACACTGCTACTCGCAATTGCTATGCAAGGCGTTACAAAGATCGCCGATATACGTAACGATCCGCATGTATCGGACAACGCGTATGCGCGACGCTCTCTGCTCATGATGGCTTTAGTTGCCAAACGCTTTGGATGACAGGTATAACAATCAATAGCCACATAGTAATGATATATTCACCAATAGCTACCTATTGATGGTATGATATGTAGTAGTTTCATGCTATTATCTGCTGAATGCCGGAGGGTTCTGAACAAACAAGAGAGTCATGACTGTATTTACCGCCGTCCAAAGAGCTTCACTTTGCACTCTGTGAGTATTGTACCGAGCATTCAGCTGTTGCCATGGTTACAGTCGCGCGGGTGGTCTCTGGACTCGATGATTGTCTTAATAGTGTAAGGAATGATGACAGATTAATGAAGGCGGACACGTGGCATATCCGTAAACAGTAAACAATGCAGTCACACTGATGAAGATCACGAGCGCGTTGACCGTTTTGGCTGGTCTTTGGGGGGAGATAGGAGGGACAGGAGTGATTTCAAGACAGCTTACCCTGCGGATGGCGGGGGTATGTTATATACTGGGCTCGAACAGTGGGGTGTGGTACGACATGCCAAATCACTAAGAGCAGGGCAGCAGATGCAGATTCCGGGTGTATTGTTGGCCGGGTTAAAGTACCGAACATACACACATGTCTAATGATAATATCACATGGTAGCAACAGCCTACCACATGGAGGTGTGCACATAGTAGGTGAACACATATAGGTCACAGTGTCTTGTCGGTGCTTGTGACTCTGTGTGTGGTGTAGCTCCAACCGCAGTCGGCCCCTGAAACACAGAGCAAGGGCGATATTCATTCAAATCCGCATTTGCCTAAGCACCAAATGTATTCCGAGCGAGTTGGTTGCTGCACTGGCTGGTGGTAGGATTGCATCAAGTGCGTAGAACCCTAAACCCCTGCGGCGTAGATGTCTATACATCAAGTGTGTAGAGCCCAAGAACTATGCCGCGCACATGGCGTGGACGTTCTCGTCGCTAGCGTTGGCAGTTGCAAATCAGCCACCGCATGGAGATGGTCTGTGGACTGATCAGCGATCCGGCGCAATGGGAATGGCTCTTTGTAGAAGAATGAGAGGCGTTTGGATATCTTCCTCCGCATGTAGCGTGTACTTTTGAGATGTCTGATGTTATGAGCATGGGTGGGCCCTATCTACTCAGAGCCCAAGTTGTAGTCGCCGGGAGTGTCGGTGGCTTGGGTACTAGTCAGCGGAGCTTTGCTTTGTACTCATCTGAGAGACACCCCGCGGGCCATTAGCAGCACTCAGGTGCAACCTCAAAACGTGGACGACTACGCTTGTGGTCAGTCACTTGCAGATAATAGTGATCTATTCCTAATGCACCTAGCAGCGGTGATGGCCACAGTCACTTGCAACTAATTACAGCATTCACATGTTGTGAACTGAGCAACCATGCCCTTGGCCTTGGTAGGCAAAGGGGCAGGAATATTGGTATAGTGAGGTTTTAGGGCAAAAGGTCCACAGTACTGGTATTCCTGGGGTTTCAAGGCAAAGGTGTGGCTCAGTGACAACGAACCGGCGCCACAGTTCACAGTTTATGTCAGTAGGAGCGCCCTAAGTGGGTCGTATGCCTTACAACCAAGTGAACGCATATAGCGATAGTACTAGCCAAGTTTACGCATATAGCAATAGTGCTGTGCCTCTAAGTAAGCCGGAGGCCTGGATTCCAAATGAGAGAAGTATTTGCAATACTTGACACATCCCACGCAGAATGGAGTTTAGTTCGACTGACTGTTCACGGGCTTTCGATTCTGTGCAGAGCAGAGACGATACTGTAATCCTTCATTATGTTCACCATGTTTCCTAGATTACCTCATATACCAGTAACTAGATGTTCTCCATATACCTGATGGTGGATGGGTGGGTGCTTGTCGCAGTCGCCGGGACTATACAAGAAAGGATATAGGTTTAAGCTTGTCGCATTCCCTATACTAGTAGTACGAGAACATACGACACGCCAGAGTTCCCAGTCTTACTTATACTCGTAGTACGGGGCCATAAGACTCACCAGAGATCCAAGTCTCGATCGTTGAGTGCTGCATGCTTGACACAAGGTGGGGCTCGTTAGAGTGGACGGCATAGTCTGGTATCCATGCACATCAACGGACAGCTGCATGTCTCAGGCAACTCGCTTATACTGTACTTACGCAGTCTACTACTTTGTACCTGTCTTGGAGTCGTCTGGTCCTCCACTGAGGTCTCTGGTGCATTACATACTCCCTCTCTCCCTCTCGAGCATTAGCAACTTCACATATACTTGGACGAGGATGCGATCGCCGAAACGGCGTAATAGCGCCCGTGTAGCTGATTAAATGTCCTCGGGTCTTAACTACACTCCGCTTGGTTTACGGTGCAGCTGCTTGCGCTAATTTCGGGTTAACCGGGCACTCCTGTCGGTTGCGTTAGGGGTATGGTGAGGGTCTTTACATGCACCTAATTAGAAGAAAATCGGGGTGTCGGTTGCTCTACTGGTTTGATGAGTATTTTTCAGAGGAAAACTGGACCATACGTACTCTCTGCTTAGGATTTAACTGCTCCAGCAGATACTTGCCCCTGAGTGCGAACAGCTAGCTTTACACCTACTCTGCAGTTGCTTAGGACCGCTCATTAATAGTCCACTTCGGACAAGTGCCGTTGCTGGCGAACATACAATTGGTTTAACATAGTACGAGCGTTTTGACGCGTGGTGCGGATGCTGCGTAACTGCGGGGTAGGTAGCGCGCATTGAGATTTTGTGCAATTTGTAATGGGTCGCAGGAATGAGATTACTTACTTTGAGACGACCTTTACTACGTTACCATTGATCCTAGTCTCTGGGCTTAATCTGACAAATAAGATAAGCACGCGATTCGTCGCTTGTTCGGTATATATGTGCCCGTTAGTAATCCAATATACTAAAAGGCATTTGAGACACATGTGACGCTAAACCGAACATCGAATCTGTTACTGTACAAGGACAAGACATGTGACAGAAATCAGCGCTGCAGAGCCGTTGGCTTCTAGCTTGCTGGCTCGTGTGGTTTAAGCGTCATATTCCCTTGAGGCGATAATGTGGCCTTGCCATGTATAATAATAAGAGAGTCCAACAACCAAATGTGGTTTAGCTCTGAAGATGTCTTGTTAATTCCATATGCATCATACACTTGCCAGTTTCTGTTGATGGTTGAATTGAAAAGAGACGTGTATGTGGTCGATGATGTGATATATATGTCTATGTATGCATACATACATATACATGTATTTGTATCACAAAACGTGTATGTGATACAAATACATGTATATGTATGTATGCAAGTATGTATGTATG